ATCGGGGTGAGGAGGGGAGAGACAGAGCTCTCCGCTAACATGGCCATGAGGCACGTCATGCAGGATTTTTACCATCCACCGTACTACTACTACTACTATACTACTACTACTACTACTACTACTACTACTACTACTATACTACTACTACCACTACTATATACACTACTGCTACTATACTATATACTACTATACTATACTACTATATATACTACTACTATACTACTACTACTACTACTACTATACTACTACTACTACTACTACTACTACTACTACTATACTATACTACTATACTACCAGTCTATTACTATACTACTATACTACTATGCTACTATATTATACTATACTATACTATACTATACTATACTATACTATACTATACTGTACTATACTATACTATACTATACTATATAGTATATAGTATACTATATACTATACTATACTATACTATATACTATACTATACTATACTATACTATACTATACTATACTATACTATACTACATACAGTATACACTATATTATACTCTTCACTATATACTATACTATATACTGTACTATAGAGCATACTATACTATAGTATACTAGACTACTATACTACTATACTATACTATATATATATATACTACTACTATATACTACTATAATATACTATATACTGTACTATACTATATACTATATACTATACTACACTATACTATACTGTACTATACTATAGACTATAATATATATTATATTACTATGCTACACTACTATACTACTACGACGACTATTACAATAGTTCTACAGAGTACAAATGCAAACAATGCACATGTACAGAAGCTTTCCCCACAAGGCCCTTGATGCTCGTGATAGTCGCCTGATTGGGCCTCGAGGTCTCCCTTCTTTTGGGGACCCAACAAACCGAAAATGCAGATGTAAAACAACATGCCCCATGGACCATTGATGCTCATGATTTGCGACTTATACTATATTATACTATATATACTATAATACTATATATACTGTTATACCATTATACTAGAGACTCTATAGTATACTATATAGACTAGACTATAACTACTGCGACGACGAGGACTATATATACTTCTTTACTAGGTTAATTTACAACATGCACAGGTAAAAGACCAGTCCCAAAAGGCCACTGATGCTCGTGACGATCGCCTATTTGGGCCTCGAGCCCTCCGTTCTTTTCGGAGCTCAATAAACCCAAAAAAGAACATGCCCCAAAAGACCACTGATGCTCATGACTTTTGTCTATATATA